GCCAGATTAGCACTTGAATGCAAGGATTGAAGAAAGGCTCGGGCTTTTGTGAAAGGCTCCTCCTAACCACTGTCGGGTTGTGCACTATCAGCTGGGATGTGCCCAGGAGGCAGGAAGACAGATAGCCGGAGAGCAGCGCCTGTACCACCAGCTGGTCTGCAGGGTGCCCGAGAGCAACACAGGAGCAGGAGCCTCACTTTGGTTCTGGGAGAGTCTCTGATGGGACTGGGTGGTGGTAGCAACTCTATCTATAGAGGTGAAGGTCTGGAAACAGAAAGCGATACTCATTGTTTTAATACAAAAGAGGGAAAGAATGAGGAAAAAGTAAAGTAAAAAACAAGATACAAAATAAATGCATGTGGAATCAAATAAAGGGAAATGGATCAAATTCACCTTTAAAAGGTAGATTCTCTCTATTTGGCATAAAAATCCAGGTATATGCAGTGCACCATAACATACTAAAACAATAGATGTAGAAAAGTTGAAAATAATTATGGCACAAACCCTATTTGATGTTACAAATATTTCTCGGTATCACATGTTTATTATAATTCTGCTATAGATAAAGTTTTATATTTATGAAATTAAATTTAGCAGGATTTTCCAAAAGACACCAATGGCTTTATTGGTGTCTTGCTTAAAAGCATCTTTCCTACTCCATTTTTAAAAAATTTGCATATACTTTCTTATAGTTTTATAGTATTTTGTTAAATCCTTGATCCACATGGATTATGATAAACATAATCTTGGATTATGATAAAAGAAATCTTGGATTCCTTTGCCCATTTCTAGCCCCCAGAGCCCAGCAATACAGAGGCTGTGGGGGCCTGACTACTCGGCTCTGGGTCTCTGCTACCGCTACATTTCTGGGGTGTGTGTGTGTGTGTGTGTGTGTGTGTGTGTGTGTGTGTTTGGGGAAGTGGATACTCCAGCATCACTTATTAATAACTAGTAACGACAGACCTGAAATGTTGTCTTTACCATATTCTAAATTATATATATTTAGATTGATTTTAGAATCTTACTTTTGTTCACTGATCCCTCTATTCCTTTAAAAAAACTATTTTAATTAAACTAGCTTTAGAAGAACTTTAATATCTGACCGATCTCTATCTTCTTTATCATTATTCTTCTTCAAAATTAATCTAGTAAGTCTCATAGGCTTATTTTTCCAGATAAACTTTAGCACAAGTTTCTCTACTCCTGCCAAAGAAAATCACTATATTAATTAAAATTACATTAAATCTCCACATTAACTTTAGTAGAAACTTGCAATCTAGTCTAATTAGCAGTGTCCAGAAAACTTTCACCTGCTGCAATTCTACTGTCCTGAAATAGGAATTTCTATTCCCTCGTGGTGGGAGAAGGTAGAAGTGGGGAAGGGGTAGAAACCTGTTTGCACTATTTTCCAAAGCTCTCCCTTTCTTGCTTTTGTCTTGCAATGCATACACCTTCTGCTTTTCGTAAACCTTTACTTATGCAAAAGAGTGTTATTACATTCCTTCATTTGTGTCTGAGAAACCTGAGTTCTCTGTACAGTTAGGAGACCAGCAGGCATGGCTCATAGATTTGAGCATGGACCTATGAACCAGAAGGTCATGGTTCGATTCCAGGTCAGGGCACATGCCCAGGAAAGCGGGCTCGATCCCCAGCCTGGGGCATGCAGGAGGCAGCCGATCAATGATTCTCTCTTATCATTGATGATTCTCTCTCTTTCCCTGACCCTTCCTCTCCAAAATCAATTACAAAAAAAATTTTTTTTAAAAGACACCTGTGGAAAGTCATGGTGCTAGTAAAGGATGAAGACAAAATTTTATCCCAATTCGTTCAGGGTTTACAACCTGAGCCCTTAATCACTGTGCTGTACTGCCTAAAACTTGAAGAAACTGTAGTGAGAATTCCAGAATTGCTAGCTAGACCCACTCATAAACTAAAAGTATACATACATTTTTAAACAAGAGACTGATAATTAATATTTTCCTCCAGTGAAAAGCAGTCTTCTCTGGAATTTGAATAGAAACCATAAAGGTTACATTTATAAATCAGGTTTTAAACCAAAACCGTACTAGGTGATTCCTGATACATAAGTAAAGTCACATAAAAGAACATGAAGAACTGAATAAAAACAACTTGAAGAATGCTGGGAGTGTGAATATATTTGTCAGCTTCCCCTCATTCCAGCTCTCTTTGGGGACAAAGTGCCCACAACTGGGCTTCAAGGCTGTGCTTCTCCCCAGGAACTGGACACAGAAGTGTTAAACAGTGAAACAATTTCTAATGAGCCCTAGAGACCTGTAGGAGAACGTGAGGACTGTGAAAATTACGTTTATAACGTAATATCCCAAATGAAAATTGATTCCCAAAAAAATGCAGATGGTAAGAATGCAAATAAATGTTCATTATGAAGACTTCATAACTTTTTCCTCTTCCTTGTACTCTTTGTTTATCCATTACCTAAATTGCACTGGGGCATAGTATTTTATCAAAAAGCTTGTGCAAACATTTTTATACAAGCCCTTAGATATCTAATGTTCCCCCAAAACTTTGATGTCCTGAAAAAATCTAATTATTACTGGTAACTTTAAAAGATCACAGTAATTTATTTTTGTCAAATGTGACTAAAGATTAATGGATACAATCAGGAATAATTTGGTAAAAACATATCAAATGCAGAGAAAGCAAAATTTGTTGTTAAGTGAAGCATCAAATATAATAAAAGAGCAAATTCCATGAATGAACAGCAACAATGCACAATTCATTAACCAAATGCCCATGACTATTTCACACTTCAGAGGGCCACTGATATGATCAGGAATGGTAGTAAAAGGATAAATATAGATTAAGTTCAACATCTCTATACATTTTAATTATAAAGGCTACCCCCAGAGAGCTACCAGCATAAAAAAAAGAAGGTTCCTCCATCCCCTTTATAAATCACAATTCCACATATATCAAAAACACATTAAGTCAATTATTGAAAAAAAAACAGCAGTCAATATACCAAGAGATATTAAAAGTACAGCACTTTCTTGGCTGTTACTAACTGTAAAAATTAAAAGTCTGGTCAACATTCAGACTCTGGAAACCCTTATCTCTCCAGAATTATCACTATCCACAATCACCTATTCCAGTGGTTCTCAACCTTCTGGCCCTTTAAATACAGTTCCTCATGTTGTGACCCAACCATAAAATTATTTTTTCGTTGCTACTTCATAACTGTAATGTTGCTACTGTTATGTATCATAATGTAAATATCTGATATGCAGGATGGTCTTAGGCGACCCCTGTGAAAGGGTCGTTCGACCGCCAAAGGGGTCGCGACCCACAGGTTGAGAACTGCTGACCTATTCATTAACTGGTTAATGTCCTGATCACTACTGACTGTTTTCACTGCTCAAAGGAAAAAGAGTATTTGTTCAGCAAATATTAATAGATTATAAGCTTCTTGAGGGCAAGGCCACATCTTCTTATTCTGTATTCTCATAGCTGATTTAGTACTTGGCTCACATCAAAAATAATGTGTATTGTATGTATGTAAAGATTGCGAGAGGGCACAGGCCGGGCTGAGGGGATCCCCCGCCCCGAGTGCACTGTTTTCAAGCCATTTTCATGACTACACATTTAATCCTCTCAACATCATCGACAGAAGGTATTTTTCCTTACTTGAAAGCTGAGGAACCTGAGAGAAATTAACTAATTTGCCCAAGTGTGTGTGTGTGTGTGTGTGTGTGTGTGTGTGTGTGTGTGTGAGAGAGAGAGAGAGAGAGAGAGAAAGTGACTTCACATTAATAACCAGAGGAAAGAAATTATTCTATTAAATATATCTTAAGTAACAGCATTGGTGTTCCAAACCAAAATGCCTTTCTTTCCATGTCATGTTTCCATTTTTTTTTTTTTTTAATAATTTCAGAGAGAAAGGGAGAGGGAGAGATAGAAACATCAATGATGAGAGAGAATCACTATTGGCTGACTTCTGCACGCCCCCTACTGGGGATCAAGCCTGCAACTTGGGCACATGCCCTTGGCCGGAATCAAACCTGGGACCCTTCAGTCCGCAGGCCGAAGCTCTATCCACTAAGTCAAACAAGCTAGGGTCATGTTTCCATTTTTAATGAACTTTTCTAATGTCTTTCCTAATGTTAACTAATAGAGTGACTGAAAGAGAATAGATTAGCAACAGTTTATTCACATACACTGGAGTTTCCCAAACTGCAGTCCATATTTCACTAAAGAAATTATTTTAAAAGATACATGAACAAAGAGAGTTATTTTAATAGAATAATTCATTTTAATAAATCTTTTCTACTCTTAACTGACATAAATGTGATTTCAGATCATATACAAATATTTCTTACTAGAAGCCCAGTGCACAAAATTCGTGCACTCAGTGGCGGGGGAGCCCCTCAGCCTGGCCTGTGCCCTCTCGCAGTCCAGGAGCCCACAGGGGATGTGGGGAACGGGCCTAAGCCAGCAGTTGGACATCCTTAGCACTGCCGTGGAGGCTCCCACCACCATCGCTTGCCAGCCATGATCCCAGCTTGTGGCTGAGCGGTGCTCCCCCTGTGGGAGCACACTGACCACCAGGGGACAGCTCCTGTGTTGAGCGTCTGCCCCCTTACGGTCAGTGCACGTCATAGCGACGGGTCATTCTGCCATTTGGTCGATTTGCATATTAGCCTTTTATTATATAGGAGGATTTCATTGAGATGTATTTACTTTACTATGTATTAAAAAAATTATAAGAACATCAGCTCATAAAATCACAGGAATACAAACTTTCCTTTTTAAATTCATTTCAGTGTAAAACAGTACTATTTAATCTTAAAACTGTGCAACTGCCTACATCAAAAAAATATATGAAGGTGCTTCACAAAGGATGGAAAATTAGTAAATGCAACAGAAACATGACTGCCAGCATAGAGGCCGATCGTGTGTGTGTACTGGGGAAGAAAGGTGGAAACTTTCTTTATCTGTGTCACGTCCATCCACACCAGACTTACCTCTGGTGACAGCATCTAGTGCACAGCCACACCCTGTCGCTCCTCCTCCAATGACAAGGACATCGAATTCAGGCGTGTTTCTCAAAGTCAGTATCTGAGCTTCTCGGGAAGGAGGATCCTTGTTCACTGGTTCTGAAACGTTCTCGGCTGCTTTAACATAGGCCAGGGTCATCTGATGTAAAAGGAGACCATTTACAGTTGTTTGTCTAGAATGCTCACTTAATAAATTTTACAACATGCTAAAAGAGAGTTGCAAGGAGATAAGGAATAGCAGAGCTAGACCTCAGTCCACAGGCCACATAGAGTTATGCCACCAACTGTCTTGGGAAGAAAAAAGACCTTAAAATCCAGGTGTGTTTTTTCCCCGTGAGTCACAACTACTGAGCCATGGAACACTTGGTTTCAGATTCCACCTCTCAACTACTTGATTTGGTTTCATATACAGACAAGTTTAATTATTCCCCACACCGTACAGCAATTCCCAAACACCTTGTCTAAGACAATATATGGGAATATAAGGATATGTTTTTATCCAGTAGCAGCAATTCGGTCAAATAACATTAACAAGTTTTGAGAGGAGGAGGTTTTAAAAAGTACTTTATGACTTTCTGCAATTTCTTAAAAGTATGTGCTCTTCATTCCTTAATTCCCCTGATGAAAATATATTCTAGAGTTTGAGGGTCTATAAGTTTAAAAAGAATCTGTTTAACACAAGTTTAAATCATCAGCTAAGGCCAACGGGAATGATATTTTTCAAAGATTGTAGTCAGAGCTTTGCCCATTAAGTGTTTTACTATAAAATTACAAATTTTACACATTTAATATACACTGTTTTGATTTTTGAAAGTTCTAACAATAATATAATTAAATCCAGCCATAGTCCCCCTAAAGAATAATGACCTTCTCTCATTAGAATGTAACTTATCATCCTAAATCCAAAATGATGCTGGCCTTTAAAAAAAACAAAACAAAAAATAGCTGTCAGAAGTCAGAGTCAAAGGCCTAGAAAAATAGGTATCTGTTTTTTTCCCCCAAAATGCTAACATGAGGTTCATTCACTATAATGAACAGTGCTGGCTAGTGTGGCTCTGGGAGATCATTACCCACAGATATATCGCTTCTGTATTCTTTTCTTTAAATCACAGCATCTGGACAAGCCATAATGCCGTGTTTTCCCAGAACCACAGGCCACAGCTTGCTCAAGAAAAAGGTGATCTATGGCTGACCAAGAGATTGTTCTAAGTGATTTTTGTTCATTTAAATAGAGTAAACCAAACTCCTCCTTGTGGTCATATTTACTTATAATCAGGCCAATTGGATTTCTATAAAAATAAATCTGGAAGCCATAGAGTATGCTGAAAGAAATCTAGAGTTGGGTCAGCAGGTCCTAGTTTAGATCTTAGCACTCTTGTTTACTAGTAATGTGACTTTTGACCCATGATCTCTCTGGTCCTTGGTTTCTTCCCCTGTAGAATGGGATAATGTCCTATGATGTCTCTCTCTCTTCCTCTCTGAGCTACCCTCCACCTGAATATACAGTAACATGAAAGTAATTCGTCAACTATAAAGTATCACCACCAAAGAATTGTTGTTTGAGTCTAGTAGTATATAAAAGGGAACTTTCAAAACATACTTTACTAAGAATCATAAAAACAAAAGCTTATAATCAGGTACCATAATTTTCAAGCTATTAATTCTGATGCCAAGCCACAAAATCATATTCTCCTTTACTAGTATATAACTTATCCTAATTACCTGCTAAAAACCATTTCCCTGTGTTCACATTTACATACATTTAAGGCAACAAACTAAATAAATGTAATTGCTAGGTGCTGTGGAGACTAAAATAACTTTTAGTCATGGTCTATACCTTCGATCATTTAATGAGGAAAAATAATTTACACACACACACACACACACACACACACACACACAGCACTGAGCTATGGCCATTCTGATGAGGGAAGATTTCAAATGGGCCACGAGACTGACAAGTGACTAAACTGTCAGTGCGTTTTCACACAGTGAAAGAATTTTCCTGACATTTTCTGTTTAAGTTTTCTAGAAATACTTGGGGGGGAAAAAAGAAATACTTGAAAAATAAATTCAAGTTCTAATGCAATATATCTTGATATACTTCATTAGAATTTGGTAATGCTAAAAGCCCCATATTTTTCTCTGTTCACAGGTGATAACTATGAATATTAAACTCAACTGAACTTCTGCAAGATTACTAGATCTGATTGATGGGTATCTCTCATGCCTTGTGGGTATGTCATTCCATTGACTACACTGATTTTTCTGTCGTCATCCCCTGCTCATCCTTCTCACCAGCATGCTCTAATTTGTCTCATCTTTACAATCAAAAACATCTTTTAACACACGTTTCTAATAATCAATCTAAAAGTTCTTAAAAGCCCTGTATGCCCTTGCTTTTTCTACTGCCTCACATCCTACCCACTCCTCAATTCATTCTAATATCAATTTTCACATACATACGAGCACCACCACCATTACCAGCAAAACTGGCTAATGTCCACTATAGTTCTACTAGTAAATTTTTTTTAAATATATTTTATTGATTTTTCACAAAGAGGAAGGGAGAGAGATAGAGAGTTAGAAACATCGATGAGAGAGAAACATCGATCAGCTGCCTCCTGCACATCTCCCACTGGGGATATGCCCGCAACCCAGGTATATGCCCTTGACCGGAATCGAACCCGGGACCCCTCAGTCCGCAAGCCGACGCTCTATCCACTGAGCCAAACTGGTATCGGCTCTACTAGTAAATTTTATGAGCACATTCTATCCCTGATTTACTTGTCATCTCAGCACACACATAACTGTTCACTCACCTTGGCATCTGGGAGGCAATCTTATGAGTTGAAATTCTGTCTGTCTCTCTCTCTCTCTCTCTCTCTCTCTCTCTCTCTCTCTCTCTTGTGAGTTGAAATTCTCTCTCTCTCTCTCTCTCTCTCTCTCTCTCTCTCTCTCTCTCTCTCTCTCTCCTTTTAACAACTCTCTCCTACTTTCCTTTGGACATCCCTCTACCTAACATTGAACACTGAGGTTCCTCTTGGATCTGCCCCCGTCACTATTCTCAGATCACTAAAAACTCTTTAGAGAATCTCTTCAACCTCCATACTGTCAGATATCTTTTATACCACACTGACTTCCAATTTTGTTCCCTTATTTCAGAGCCAGATATCAAACTACCTACTTGGTACCTGCATTTAGACATCTCGCATATATTTCAAAATTGAACTGATGACTTTATCTCCCCATACATTTTTTCCCTATCAATGTTCCTCATCTCATGAAGGTACCATTATACATGTAGTTGGGTGTACCACTCTCTCAAGTCCCCATATTTGATGAATCACTGAGTTCTACCAACTCCAATCACTTAATCTTCACTGCCATCTTTCCAGTCAAGGTGTCTTCCCTTTCCCCTATAGTATAGGGGCTTATACTAATATGATATCCTCCTTCAGATCTTCATACATTTGCTGTGTCTCCTTCCAAGTCATTATCTACACTGCAGCTAAGGTAATAATTTTTAAACCCAACTAACATTGTTTCCAAGTGTAAAACCTTTCAGAAGTTTCCAACTCAATTTAAGTTAAAGGTAAATATCTTTACTCTAGTTTCCAAGATTCCTCACAGTCTTTTAGAGTAGACAATACCAGTGCTGGTGAGGGTATCGCACAGTTGGAACCCTCTTACATTGCTGAAAGAAACACAAAGTGATACAGCTATTTTGGAAAACAGTTTGGGAGTTTTGGATACTATAACGGGAAACATACACGTACCATACAATCTAGCAGTTCTCCTAGATAATTACTCAAGAGAAATGAAGACCTACATTAATACAAAAACCTGTAGGAACATGTTTACAGTGGCTTTATTTATAATTGCCAAAAATCAGGAAAATCTCAAACATACTCAACTGACTAAACAAACTGTTATATATCTATGCAATGGAGTAATAACCAACAATCTAAAGAACAAACTACTGATAGATACATGATATGAATAAATCTCATATTCATTATGCTAAGTCATAGCACCAAATTATGGTTTTCCACCCAAATCTGGCTGTCACCTGTATTTTTTGTTTTGGGTTTGTTTGTTTTGTATGTGTGTGTTTTTACTGATTTTAGAGAGAGAAGAAGGGAGGGGGAAGAGAGAGAAACATCAGTGTGAGAAACATCAATCCGTTGCCTCCCATACACACTCTGATCAAAAGCCTAATCCACAACCTGGGTATGTGCCCTGACTGGGAATCAAACCTGCAACCTTTTGGTTCATGGAACGATGCTCAAGGAACTGAGACACTGGCCAGGGCAACTACCACCTGTTTTAATACATAAACTTTTATTCAAACACGACCACACACCATCATTCATGTATCAGCCATTACTGCAATAGCAGAACGAGTATCAACAGAGACTATATGGCCTGCAAGCCTAAAACATTTACCACCTAGCTCTTTACTGAAAAGTTTCCCAATCCCTGTGCCAAGCGAAAGAAGCTAGACTCAGAAGTGTATATATGATATGATTCCACTTATATGCTGTTCTGTAAAGCAAAAATGTATAGGGTCAGAAAACAGATCACCAGTGATTGCCAGGGTTTGGGTGTTAGGGGCAGGGAAGATTGACTACAAAGAGGATAAGAGAGAACTTTTAAGGATGATAGAAATGTTATATATCTTGATTGTGATGGTGGTTATATGGTTTATGTACTTGTCAAAATTCCCAGAAGAGTATATTATAAAGGGTGAATTTTACTGCATAAAAATTGCACCTCAAATAATACATTAATAAACTTTACTAAAAAAAGAATAGGTAAATACATATACTATAGCCATTCTGTATCAGGCGCTATTATAAAGATTTTTTTCCCCCTACTCATTTAATCCTCACAATAACCCTATGAGCTAGGCACTACTATGGTCTCCATTTTACAGAAGTAACAGAGAAGGTAAGCACTCTATATGGTAGAGCTGGGAATTGAACCACACAGCCTGGCAATGGATACTAAGTTTTATATTGCTATACCATACCGACTCTACATATAATCTGAGGAAAAAAATAAGGAAACAGACTAAATAGTTATAATAGGATGAGTTATCACCGGTTGCCAAATGCAGAAAGTTTTTTGGGTTTT